CACCCAAAATGAAGGAAGGAAAGGTTTATTTAGCTCACACTTACCAGAAATCTCAGTCCATGCTCAGCTGGGTCCAAGGCAGAGCTGCACATGGCAGCGAGCAACCTTTCCTAGTGTGGGTGAAGAGAAGAGAGCAAAATGGAGGAGTAGTGGCTCTCAAGCAACTAGCTTGTCTTCCTTCCTCACATTGTAATGCAAATTACCTGCCCCAGGACGGATGCACCACTCACACCTGTAATCCCAGTGGATCCTGAGTTAGTCACAAGCTCTAGAAGTCTGCCCCGTGAATGCTTGAGGCTTTGGGGGTACAAATACACACAAACCATAATAGGCGTGAAAGACACCCTTGCAGCAGGGTGTGAGATGACATCTCGTGAAGACCTCAAAGCTGAGCATCCAAAGCGGAAGACAAACCCCAGACTGAAGGGTTCATCTTTCTGGCTGGTGGGTTGTTTGTTTTTTCTTTAGTTCTGGCTGGCAATGAATTCCCTGTGTAGCCAGGGCTGGCTTTGAACTGATGGCTGTTGTCCCTGCCTCAGGTTCCCAAGTGCTGGGATTACAATTTTACACCACCATGCCTGCTCCGGGCTGAAGGGTTCTGATAGAGAAAACAAGTTTGGTGAGTTTGAGGCCTGCCTGAAGTCTGGAGCACAGCATTGTGGGAAATGGCAAAGACTGGGTGGAAATGGCAAAGACTGGATGGGACCCTATCCTCCTTAGTGTATCACCCAAATGAATATTTATTTCATCTTTTACTTTATGTTACTTTTTCCTCTGTGCATCTCCATGATTCCATTTATAGTAGACTACATGAACATACTTCTTTCTGATATTACAATGATCATCTTCTAAAATATCCTGGTAGCTGGTGTACAGGAAACTGACTGTAAGAAGGAAGTCTGGGACCAGTTGGACAATTAGCATAATTTATGAATGAAATGTGTGTTGGTTTCTGGGTGGTAGTGGGGGAAGAGGTACAAGTGGTTAGATTGTAACTGTAACAAATACTTCAGAAGTGTGGACTGAGAATGAAAAGACTGGGAAAAGGTATGTGGGGGTGGGGAATGAAAACTTGGGTTTGGGTCTTTTGAAGTGTGTATCAGTCTACATGACAGCTGTTAAGTAGATATGCTTGTGGGAGGAGTCTGCAGCTGGGAGATCAGAGAGGTTGTTACTCACTGCATTCGTTAAAAAGTGCAGACATTAGATAAGATCACCCAGGAAAGTAACTACAGATAGTGAAGGGAACATCATCAAGGACAGAGCCCTGGGATGCCCCTGGGTTTGCACACAGGGAACACTGGACAGGTGCAGTGCCCTGGAAACTTGAAGGGAAATGAGGATAGCCTGTTCTGGAACTTGAGTGAAGAATCCACTTCAAGGAGCAGAGATCCATTGTGGAATGCTTTGCTGAGAATTTATGCCATAGCAGCATAAAGTTGAAATTTCAGGAGCCTATAGCCAACAGTAACTTTCCAACATAATACAGTGACATATAGATTGAGTATTCCTTATTTGAAATGCTTGTGACCAGGGGTGTTTTGAATTTCAGATTTTGGAATACAGGCAGATACATAGTAGTATCTCAGGAATAGAACCTGTTATGGTTTATAGCAAAAATCTCCCCCCAAAGACTGACAGATGGGATTTGGGCAGGGGATTGACCATGGGGTCTCTACAGCTGACTTTGTTAGGAGGTGTGGAGCCTGGTTAGTGAGTTGGGTCACTGGGGCTTATTTCCCTCCTGGCTCCTTCTCTTCCTGCTTCCTGGCTGTCATGAAATGAGCAGTCTTCCTCTGCCAGCCTTTCCCTTGTGTGTTCCAGCGTTGGCTGAAAGGTGAGCCAAAATAAACCTCTTCTGCTTTAAGTTGTGGGTCCTAGGTATTTTGTCTTAGTGATGGGAAGAGTGACTAAGACAAGTTTAAATACAAAGCATATGCACCTTGTCCATAAATAGGCTCATGTTAATTTTATATGATATTTTAGTGTATCTGTGTTTTGACTGCAAGCGAACACGTGAAGTCAAGCGTGGAATTTTTCATCCATGGCCCAGTGTTGGCGCTCATAAGGCTTTAGATTTTGAAACATTTTGGGTTTCAGATTTTTGGACTGATAATTCTCATTCTGTATCATGTTTACCTAAAATGTCTTTAGTATTGGATTGGAGTGTTGCAGTGAATGCCTTGGAAATTAGACTGTGCCATCCTGTAGTCTTTTTCAAACATGGTTTCTGATTATTTTCCTTTAGCCAGTAAAATTATAGCTGTAAAAAGTGAAAGAGCGTTCTGATTATTTCATTGGTATTCCCGGCTTTGTACTTAGGAGTTCTCTTATGATGTCAGAATAACAGAAGTTTGAGATTTTTACAAAAGCATATTGAAGGAATTATAGACTCATAAAATATGTGGACTCTAAGGCATCCGAGATATTCCAGTAGCCAGCTAGTACCTCAGACTCAGTCTGTCCAGTGCTTACATACTTGGTTCTCAATGGTAGGCCCCGGCAGCCACTCAGTTGCACAAGCCAGACATTTGAATCATCCTGTTCCTCCTCTCTGTCCTGTGTCTTCACTGTCAGAAGTCTGTCAGTCACTTTTTCACACATATTCACGCCCTTTTATTCCCATATAAGTTGCTGAAATGGCCTCAGAGAATAGTTTTCCCTTGATCCTAATTTGCCTTGTGTGTCTACTTTAGAGACTAAGTTGTATCTTAAAAATTTGATCGAATGTTATCGCTTTCCCTACTTTGATCCTTTCCCATGACTTCCTAGTGTCTACAGAACCAAGATCAGAATCCTTGAAGAGATCTGGAAACTCCATGTGACCTAATCTGTCCCACCCCTCTCCATCTCTCTTTCTCCTTCCCCTTTCTGAACTTGAGGACACCCTGTACTGCAGGACCTTCTGTGTACCTGCTCTGCAATGACTCCAGCTCTGCCTACATCTCTGTTCCTTAGTTTTGGTGATGTTCCTTTGTTACCTTTATTTATTATTGAAATATTTTTTTTTTTTTTTCTGTCATTTTGAGACAGGGTCTTGCTGTGTAGCCCAGTTTGGCCTTGAACTCCCAGAGATCTTCCTGTCTCAGGCTCTCAAGTGCTGGGAATACAGGTGTGGGTCACCACACCCAGTCTCAATCACCAACTCAGTGTGCCCTGGGGGTGGGGCTGGGGCAGGGGCAGGCACTGCAACTGGTGATTGAACCCAGGTCCCTGTGTCTGCCTAAGCAGGTGCTTTAATTTGCTGAGCTATTCCAAGGCTTTCTTTTCTTTTCATTCTTTCTTTTTTGGGGGGGCTACCAGGGATTGAACTCAGGACCTTGCACTTTCCAGGCAGGCACTTATTCTGCTGAGCTATATCCCTGGCCTTCCGAGGTTTTCTTTGTCACTTCAGTGTACTAAAAATTAAGGAAAGACATTTCCTTTTAATCTTATTAAGACTGTAGTATTTTCTAAAGAGTAGGGAGGAAGTGTGACAACACAAATTGCCCAGTTTCAAATCATCATGATTCAGACTTGATAGGTATGACAGTGTCTCCCACCCACCATTTCCCTCTCTTCCTCCTCCTCGTTTTTCTTTTTCACCCCATCATAAATGTATTTTGAGGTAAACTTAGGTATTATGAAATGAAAAACTAGCCCTTTAAGTTTTATTGTTTTGTCAAAACAAGTTACTGTGTTTTAAAATATTAATTTTGAGTCTTTGTTTTTCTCACTGGTTGTTAAAAAAAAGATCTTTAAGTTAAAAGTATTTTTAAATTACTTATTTTATTTAATACTATTTTTGAAGTAGTTTTTATCTACAGATAAAATATCTATAGATTAAAATAGGACTAAGATACAGGATTTAAAATGGAAAAATTATCTGCCTTTCAATAATGTGAGGTACTTTGTCTTTCATTGTTGGGCACAGTTAAGAAGTAAGTAGGGTCAGCTGTACAAGGGAGGCTGGCTTGGTTCTATTCTCCACCTCTTATAGGTGATTTGCTCTTGGTTAGGGTAAATTTGATCTAAGCTAATCCTTAAGCTCAATTTAAGAAAGGTGCCCCTTTATATGACTTCGTGACTCACTATTTTAGTTGTCCTTGTCTGACAGTGCCTTCTCTTGCTGAGAATCTAGATTTGCTCACATGTGTCTAGTGATGGAGCCCCTTACCAAGCATCTTAAAAGGAAAAAAACATTCCCTCCCTGCCTCATGAGTATCCTTTGTTTTACCAGTAAAAGCAGATAAAATGCTGGTGGTATACAAACGACTCTGACTCCTGGAGGGAAAGGACAGTAGAGGGATCACAGATGATCAAGTTGTGTTATGTGCACGCACCGGTTCTAAAAATGAGCATAGCTGTTCTTTATCACTAACTTGCACATACTAAAGGTCACTTACTAGAGGTCGGAGGCTCTTCCAGCTGTTTCCTTCTGTAGAAATTGCCTCTTTCCTTGCTGCTGCTGTTCCTGATGAGTAATATATCCTAATACAGTTACTTGCTTTTCTTATTTTCCTACTAGAAAATGAATTGTGCCCCGGCAGGGCTTTGCCTGCTTGTCCACACCCTGTACTAGGCACACGGTGTACCTCCTTAAGGGAAGTGACACGCTTGTCTCCGTTTTGCAAATGGTTCTCTCAGGCAGTGGCCATTCCGAATCCACACTTAGCCTGAGAAAGTTGCAAGTAGAAAGTCCTAGGTGGAGGACTGAAGACACAGATTGGGTACAGATGAAGGGAACAGTTTCGACAGCTGTATGGACAAGCAAAGCAGACATTACCAAAACATTCATGACACCTGCATAGAGCTTTTGCTGCCATGTGAGTTACCCAAGGGCCTGTTGCATTTTAATGAGGAAAACTGGGTGCAAAAGAGTGTGTTTAATGCAAATAGTGGACAGCAGCATAGCCCATTCTCATCACTGCCTTCTGCAGTAAGTGATAAGCTTGTCATCTCTTTAAACTAATTTTCCTGAAAAAAAAAATACTAAGTTTTATCCTATCTCCTTTCAACAGCATCCTGGCGGGGAGGAAGTCTTAAGAGAACAAGCTGGGGGTGACGCTACAGAGAATTTTGAAGATGTTGGTCATTCTACCGATGCTAGAGAACTGTCTAAAACTTACATCATTGGTGAGGTCCATCCTGTAAGTATTTTTTTCTGGAATTCTGTTCTCTGTGAGACTATGGGCCTTACCCAAGTGAAGATTTGTTATCTACACAAAAGTTAAAAGGAATACGCCAAAAGCAACTCCTGATATGAGAACACCATTTTTTTTGTCATAGTAAGTTAGCCTGACTTTGTGTTGCATTTCATTGGCTGCATTTTTTGCTGGCCCTGAGTCATAATGCTTGTACTGGGTGGACGGCACTTCTCAGGCTTTGGTGAAAGTTCTTGAAGCAACACATTTTAAAATATACACATAAAAAGTTGGATGTAAATGATGCTTTTAAAAAAATGATGCTTCTTACTGACAGTAAATGAAAGAAAGGTTAAATTGGGCGTTTTGTAGAAAGCCTAGAAGTAAGAAATACTTCTAGGTGTATCTTGAAGGAGTATGTCTCACCTGTCTGGAAAGTTTATTTCCCATATGTGTTCATTGTCACACTTCCAGAAGTACAGTAGCTTCATGGTTATCAGCAAGATCCATCCCGTCCTTGTTTTCCCCATCCAGTGTGTGTGCGCATGGGGAGAGTGGGGTTCAGGCCATGACTGGCAGTTGTGCTTCACCCTCCTGCTGGTTTACCTGTGGTTGGCCTGTAGACACCTTGGGTGCTTATTGTCCTCAGCCTGAGATTTAAATAGTTTATGAGGAATTGCAAGGACTTCCTGAGAATGCCACAAGAATAAGAGATAGCATCTCAAAGGGAGTTTAATAGGTGAGAAGGGAGGAATCAGTTCTTCAGCTGCTCCTCTAATTAAAGATCACAGTTCCAGTCTAATAAATGTCTCCACACATCGACAAGTAGGACTGTCACAAATACCATTTTCAACTTCAGAACTCTACATAGAAAATACCTCTTACCACTAAATAATCTGTCGCCTGCTATGAACCATCAGACTTTGTGTTAGATTCCAAACCCAAAATGCTAATTATTAAATAGTAATTTTAAAATCTCAAAATAATGAAGTTGTAAATGTTTCATTATCATACAGTGTTTCTTTCTTTTTTTTTTTTGCAGGATGACAGATCAAAGTTAGTCAAGCCTTCGGTAAGTGTGTGACCATCTGTCAGTGGATGGGGTTATCTTTGTTGTGTTAATACCTATCAAACTCAGGGCAAAGGTCTTTTACTTACCTGACTAAGGCTTGCAGAGTTCTTTGTAGACGAGATGAATAATTAACCTGCTGCCTCAGGAAAGTTTCATTTGAAAGGACTTGTTGGTGTGTTTTATGCGGAGAGCTTGGATGTTCACCTATCACTTCAATTCTTAATACTTAAATTATTTCATCATAATTATCAGTAAATACCTTTTGATATCTGGGAGTGTGGCTTAGTGGTGGAATACTTCCCTAGCACACAAAAAGCCCAGTACAACAAAAAGAGCAAAAAATGTTAACCCTTTGAAAAGCTGCTTTTTACAAGTAGTACTGATCTTCTAGCGTGAAAGCTCTGATGAGCTGTGTTTTCACTGCTTAAAACTTGATTGAATTGAAGCCTGTTGCCTGAATATCGGTGGGCACTGTCCATGTTTCTCTCTTACAACATCTCTGGGCAGAGCAGATGTTCCTTAAGCTGCACTAGTTTTACACTTGTTCACTAGCTTTTCCTTCAGAGCTGACTGTCCTTGTTTATGTTTGAAGATAAATTCAGAGTGCAAATTGATGAGCATAGCCCAAGTATCTAAAAAGTACAAGTAGGCAAAATTTTTCACAGTCAGTAGCTAAAGAACAAAGGAAATTGTTGCTTCGAACAAATGACAGAAAGAAAATCATCATGTTTCTGTTTGGTGTGCGTTGCTGGTTTTACTGGAGAGTAGTAAGAAATGGTGAACTGACTTTGCTCCTGGTGCGGATGAGATGTGGTCTTCCCTCTACAGCACAAAGTGATCCATTCAGTGCTAAAACGGTAAAGGCCATTGTCCCTCAGACAAAACAGTGAAAGTCTTGAGTAGTGCTGTTTACGATAAAGCAGTTTCATCTATAATTTTCCTTTCCCTGTTCAAGAAAAAAAAAAAAAAAAGCATTGCTGCTGTGAGTGCTTCAAGAAGATTAAAAAATAGATTAAGAATTTGAAAGGTATTTGGAGCAATTGCTGTAAGTTCATTAGACTGGGTCACTGGATCACTTTTCAAAAAATTTTTGGACAGTTTAAACTTCGTGATATAGGAAGTTTTTCCTTTATTTTTACCCCTCCCCCCCCCCAGCTACCTGGAAAAATCTAATTTTTTTCCTGAGCTCTTCAGTATGTTAATAATCTTGGTGCAAATCATTCAGCTGCTGGAAAACACAGTTTGGTGGCTCGCAATCATGCACATAACCTTAGTGTAGACAGCACACGGTGAGTCCCCACAGCCACCTTCCATCCCTTGCATTCACTTCTAGACTATGTGTGTTGGGCTCTGTGTGGTACTTGGGCCCTTGCTGTTTGGTCTTTGCTGTGGGTGTGTGCAATCGTTCTATATTTAACATACCTATCACTTCAATTCTTGGATAATTGTGGGACAGTGCAAGTTTACATACTAAATTCTGGGAATCAAAATGTCAATATCAAAGCAAGCATTCCCAGTATGTGGTGACAGAGTGAGCAGTTTCATGTGTTACTTCACTTCTGAACTAGCGTTTGATGTCTGATCGGCTTGCTGGGCGTGGGAGATCTGTCTGGAGTCGGAATCACACTAGCTTTGCAAAGATTTTTGTACTCCTGTGATTTTACAGATGTGTGAACTTTTGAGTGTTTATTGTAAGCTGTATTATAATTAAATAACTGGGGAAGTTTTGCTTTAAGTAAGCAACAGAAATAAGTCTTCATTTTGACTTTAATCAAATTAGAGCAGAGCTGGAGGAAGATGGGATAAGAACCTATTAGTTACTTTAGAGGCCATAAACAGATGAAGTATAAGAAAATGTGTGGCTGCTTTTCTAGGTCTGTCTTCTTTGTGCTTTCTGTTTTAAAGAAGAAAAGAAGATCCTTAGACATTTCGTTTTTTTTTTTTTTCCCCAGAACTGGGGATTGAACTCAGACCCTTGCGCTTTCCAGGGAAGCGCTTATTCTACTGAGCCATCTCCCAGGCCCCAGACATTTCTTTTTAATTTTTTAAAAATCTTTTATTTATTTGGTACAGGGTCTCGCTACACAGCTCAGACTTGTAGTGATTGTCCTTTCTCAGCCTCCCCAGTGCTGGGATTACAGATGTGCACTGCTATGCCTGGGTTTTGGTGACTGGCTTGGCACAGGACTGTCACAGCATGTACCAGAGATCGAACACAGGTTCTTGTACATGCCAGGCAGGCGCTTAGACCACTGAGCTATCTCCCCAGCTCTGACATTTCTTAATTGTGTGTCTATAGCTGTCTCCAGTTTAGAAAATGTATACCATAGCCCAATTTTTTTAATGAAAAAATAAAACTATTTCATCACAAAATAGTAAGAGAATAACGATAGTTAATATACTGTGATACCTTAAAAGTAGTTAGTCAAGGCAGTTTTTTCTTACGAAGAAACAAATGTTAGCACAAAGCTTTCTATTTAGTGAACTCAGAAAAGCTAGTCATATAAATGAAACACATAAGCATGTATATTTAAATTTTGGGGGGCGGTGGTCTACATGGTGTTCAGGGTCTCACTGCTAGATCAAACTCTAGTGATCTGCCTGTTTACAGCTTCCCAAGAGCTGGGATTAGAGGCTCGCGCCACCACACCCAGTCTGAATTGCTGTCTCAGTGTGCCCTGGGGGTGGGGCTAGCACAGCAGGCCCAGGGATTGAATCCCTGGCCTCTGCGCCTGCTTGCAGGCACTTTAATCTGTCTGTGCTATTTGGCTGGCCCTATATTTAAATATTTTTGAAGCAACAGAATAATTAATTTTTGGAATTGTTTGAAGTCCCTATTTTCTATTTATCTACTTTCTAATTTTTTATTTGTGTGTGTATGTGCAGTGGAGATTATATATCATATATATATATC